GACCATATGCTTTGTGGCCAGCAGTTTTGCACTCCAGCAAATAATAGAATTATCCGTCGGCTCATCGATCATGTCGACCACTGTCAGTCGTGACAGTCAATAGCTGTGATGTCGACGATTCCCGATATTGTACGACGCCGTTTGCACTGATGCGGTGACGTTGATGTCGACACTTTGCTCAGGGGGCGTGCCATCCTTGGCCATGCCGCAATACGGCGGGGCTTTTCAAACGGATAGCATACGTCACATTTGTCGTCGATAAGGATGAGCTTGACCAGGGTACAGTCAAACTTAACGTCGTTGAGAACCACCTGGACGTTTGTCGACGCATATATCTCAAGTTGGCTACAATTGCTGGCAAGGTCGAAGCAATAGGAACTCCGACCTCAAAGATCGTCTTTGAGGAGGCTAATTGATGCCGTGACCATTGTGGCCTTCCAACCTAGAGAGCTATTGTACCTCGTGCAGAATGCCCCTCGAATCCGCCGTCGAGCAACACTTAACGAGCTGGCTGCACGGAGTTGCTCAGCACGAGGCACTCAGGGACTCGTCAGCAACTTGTCTCCATGTCGCCGGTGTTCTCAACCGACGACGACCGAGGTCACAATGGTGACCTCAATGACAAATCCAAAAAGTGAATTCGTCTAATTTTGCTAAGTTGAATTCCTAGTGAGAATTCATTGTGAGACTATGTATCCGGAATTGCCGGAAAAATTGATGGAGGAAATTCACTGTGAGATTGGCACACAGTGAAAACTGTTGCTTTTCCTTGTGAGCGGGTAGTGCCATGAACGACAGCTCCAAGCGAAAGGTGGCATTCCGGTTCAAGACAGCTTCCAACGTCGACGTCTTAAAAGAGGTAATAAACATTCAGCCGTTCGATGCTCCTAATGGAGCACGTTGGGAAGAGGTTGCTGCAAACTTGTGAATCACACATGGCGACACTTTGACTGCTGTTTCCTGTCGTAAGCGGTTCGACGATTTGATCGTCGCATTCAAGGAGGACAAACTGAACTCCCTCCGTGCATCAAGCACAGAGGAAGAGTACAATGAGTGAGAACAATTGATGCAGGACATCGTGGACCTGGTAAGACATGCATATTGGACATGTAATTAATGTATGCCATGTTTTGCTGAGAACAAATTTATCTCACGTTCTAGATGAATACCTCGCAAGACCACAAGCGATCTGTCAAGAAGAGAAGACGGCCAACGGTACTTTGGGGTGGCAATCGCATTGGATGTTTCGGTGGATAGGTGAGCCATCAGCCCAAGCATGGCCATGATGGTCGTCGTGGTGTCCATTCTGCAAATACTGTAGTAGTCTGAAAAGTAATATTCTTTGCAGCAGAACATTTTTCACAGGGAAGTTTGAAACAGAATTTTCCAGAATGCTCTCACAAGGAATTCAACTTAACGTCGGTTCTCAGTGATCAGCCGAATTTCAGCTTACAGTCCGCGAAGGCATCGAGGGGACTTTCATTCATATCTATATAACCATAGAAGTGTTTCCTCTGAAATTTTGTATGTGGACAGAGCTCAGTGGCATCTAAAAGTTGTTTAATGAATGCAAAACTTGAAAATGCATAACCTTTGAAATATTTTGCGGAAAGTAGAGCAATTTATCCTAATTTCGCAACAAAAACCAATAACCTCTATACATTAATAAGTTTCGAGGGGTAATATTTTAATTAATTCGACCTGTGAAAGCCTTACCTCTTTAGAATAATACTGTGGTGCCAGTGTCGTCCATTCACGAAGTTCGGCATGGCCACCATCAGCGACGACGAATATGATGACATTACCTGCCGCCTACAATGATTTTGAACTGTGTCATCATTGTGAGAAGTTAAACCTGTATGATTTGCTCGTTACCATGTATGAAGTGGACAATTTTGATTCCTCCTCGTCGGAATCGTCTTCTGGACAAAGTGACAGTGATACGGAACAACTTTCAAATGTAATATTTGCATTGTAAAATAATACCCAGTTTTCCTACCAATTTTATTTCAAACTCTACCTTTGAAATACAATAATGTCAACTAACCCTAATCTCGGCCCCCTCGAT